GAAATGAAATTTCGGATGTTGTTATTTTAAGGTATGCACTCGAGATTGCGATGATTTAAAATAGTAAAGCTCTCACGGTTACGGATACAATAAAAAATTTCGGAGTTTACCAATGGTAACGTCCACTTTATTTCCTGCGCTAACTGATCAGCGCATTGAACAATCATAGATGACTTTGGAACGATATACGTATGGCGAAAATTTCCGACTTAAAACATCTGCAAAGAAGAGCATTGTGAGTGACAAATGATAAAGCAAAGGAAAGATGCAGTGACTCACTTTGCATAATTCACAGTGGGTAGACAGTAGGATTGGACGCCGTTTGCAGACTCTGCCCCTGCCTCTTTCAGAAGACGAACTGTGGCAAATGGTGTGACGACGGTGTCCCTCAGGACACCATCCGCACTGTTATTGACTCTATGTCTAGACGTGTTTCTTCGTGCATCGCTGTTCGCTGTGGTCCTACATCCTACTGAGCTGACGCTGTTCTCCCTCTGTATTCTGACTATCATTTTGAAATAAAGGTCACTTATTGCTGCTTGCTGTCTCTGTCTTTTTTCCGAATTTCACCCCTTTCTGACCACCCCTTCTTGGTGTTGCATTTTCAATGACGAGCAGTGTATCAAGAATAAGAGAAAAAAAAGTTTTTTTACGAGAAAAAGCTGACAAGGCAATTTTCCTTGGAATCAAAATTCCAAAACTTTAATAAAAGCAGAGTGGGAAAATTGTTTCTTCGAACAGGTGTTAGAACGTGCTAACAAGGTGACGCTTACAAGGAAACAACGAGGTGAATTGATAAAGCTGTTTCATCTGAACGTTAAAATGCTGCCTAAGCAGTGAGAGTTTATTGGCGAAATCTTAAGCTAAGACAAGTTCTGTAAAAACTGTATGAGATTTGGTAAATAAATTTGAAGAACCTGGATGCATATGTGATAGACCGCGATCCGGACGTCTATGTGTTCCTGTGGAAGTTGTTGCGGAAGTGCATAAAAAGATTATTGCAGGTCTATTGAAAGAAGTATTGCTTGTAGTTTTGGATGTACCAAAAAGCACAGTCCTCAAGCTCATGCCCACTGTTTTGCGGATGTTTCCTCATTGATTACCAAATTTGCGAATTTTTTCAGCAGATGTGATGAAGATAGCAGGTGGCCGCTGAGAATATTATTGATGAATGAGGCGTAATTCTCCTTAACTCGGAACGTAAACTCCATGAATTGCGTTTATTGGGCTAACGAAAATGCTCATGATGTGGCACCAGCGCCTTTACACAAAGTTAAAGTGATTGTATGGTGCGGTGTCGCAAGCACATTTCGTTCTCCACCCGTGCTTCTTCGAAGTATAAAAACTTGCCACTTCTTGCGACTTGTCGAAGTCCACACTTCGACAAGTATAAAAACTTGCCATCACAAATACTCGGCGTACAACAATGTTGCAGACTTACGTAATTCCAAAATTGCCGCAGAGAAAAGTCGTTAATGACATTGTATGAATACAAGATGATGCTCTTGCACACGTCACCACGTGTGTTTGGCAAGTTCTGCAACAGAACTTTGGAGATGGATTCATCTTCCATAATTTTGCACTTTCCATAAAACACAAAATTTTGCAGGTTCCTTATGCAAAGAAGCAATCTTACGTTCGTCATTATTGTCAAAAATCTCCCTCCTGCAGTGCATTATCGTCTACGAAGATGTGCATGTTGCATATTTTTAATTTCAATAACAGTTTTTTCCCCTTCTCCTCCCTTGTGTTGTCAACCGACCTTTACAACGCTATATTTGCAAATATTTTAAGCCAACAATTTTCATAATAGGCGTATCGTTCCGACGCCATTTTTGGTTTTTCAGAGCGCTGATCGGTTTACGCAGAAAAAAAGTCGGCATTGCCATTCGAAAATTTTGAAATTTTATAATGTAACCGTAACTACTATGTGAGAGACTATAGCCGTGAGAGCTATGTTGTTAAAAATTCTTACAATTTCGAGTGCATACGTTCAAATAACAATATCTGAAATTTCATTTCGATTGGTTGAGCCAAAAGGCCACTAGGAATTCATATACTGGAAAGTTTTTTTTATGACCATGGGTTATAGATCAACTAAGTAGAATATGTTTCCTTAGTTTTATTACTTATTGTATTGCCATAGAACTTGAAATCTGAAGGAAAAAATTCTGTCATGGCAATCTAACTATCTATAAAACGCTGCAAATAATTAGACTTGAAAAGCCAACGTATACCTCCGAGAAGCAAATTTTTGTGAAATTCTTATTTTGGCCACACATTTATGCAAAAAGCTTCATTCGAAGCTTTATCTTTAAACAGTTTATCTTGCTTTCATGCGTAACTTTAAATCTGCATGAAGCTTTACCTGCATACTTTTAACTAAATATTTTAAATATTTCTGGAAAAAAAAAAAAAAAAAAAAATGGACAGACCAAATGTTAGGCATCTTGTTTTTGACATATGCTAAAAATCCTCGATACTTTCCAATTATTTTTAATGCACCCTCACAACGAGCTGTAATGATGTTGGACAGGCGAATGTCATACTGGAGCAAAATGCTTTCAAAATAGTGAAATGTATCTCTCTCATGTGCACGTTTCGAGAGGTTTTGAGAAAAAGAAATCGTCTATTACTGCGGCTTTCCGACAAGTTTCAATGGGGGGCATGAATGAAAGAGTATGCGTAGATTTTGCTGTGTTTCATTACTCTTGCGTTCTTTTTTTTTTTTTTTTTTTTTTTTTTTTTTTTTTCTTTTGTTTTGTTCTGCTTCTTTACATCTGTGCAATTTACTTTTTTGTAGTGCGTTTATTGCATTAAAAATTTACATATTTTAAAAGATAGTATATGCTAAGTAATATTTGTGAATTTCTTTCCTTACATTTATTTCATATGATATCTGCTTAATACATGATATAGCTTTCTATAAACAAGCAATTAGTTATCAGTTTTATGAATAACTTATTCTCGTAATCAATGGGATTTTTATTTATGCCGATGAATTACTTTTGATCATCACTGAATCCTTTTAAAGTTTCACCGACTCCCCCAGGTTGGGAACGAAGCTGAGAAAAAATATATATATATTCATTGCCTGAAAGGTACACTAGATCCCACGAACCGGCCCTGGACTCGGGTTCAAATTTCGTAAAATATATATTGTCTTTGTGACATTGTCAAGACGAAAGCCTCTCGAGAAGCTCTTGGCACGGAAAAAGTGTAGAAGATAATCATATATATTTTCCTGGCCTTTTCTGCTTCCAAATTGTGACGGTGCTTCCCCATTCTCAGAGATGTAATGTAGTCGCCCAAATGGTGCATCCTGGCCAACGTTCTCGGTCAGGAAATGGTTAAGTGACCATAGAAATTGTCTATTCACAGCAAGTTCATTAAGATGAAAGGGTCTGGTGATTTGAGATAACAGGAATAAGAACAAAAATAGATTCCATACTATTAAAAATGTATAAATGCCTGTTTGTTTCATGTAAAATAAAAACAACAAAAAAATTGTTTGAGTAAATAAGAAATGTGCATTAGGTGGGAGGAAAAATCACGTTTTTATTTTTCTAAATTTTCTATCGCTATATCGCGGAAAGCTGTCTTTCGCGTAGCTATGAAAAATGAAAAAAAAAAAAGTTATACAAAAATAGATCTTCCATTCACACATCTCACTCCGATTTTTGAAAAATACCGAAATTTTGCTGCTTTCCGTCAGTTCTTTTATAATTGCTAAACTTACTACTATATAAATGCAGTTGTTCCTAATGTGAATTTGGGGGATTGAGGAACATGGTAAAAAGCTTAAAACTTGTAATTTAAAATTATTTATTGCTTTCGAAAAAAACTCTAAAAATACAATTCCTCCCATCTGAAATCGGAATTTCCGTATTTTGTGATAGTTTTACATTTTCATTTTTAGTAAACAAACAGTGAATGCATTTATGATTTTTTAATTTTGATTAAATAACCTTGGTTGATTTTTTTTTTGGGGGGGGGAATTGCTGTATAATACACTTTCAAAGGAGGGTCGTTCTAATCAACGGATCATCGTTAGTCACCTTTTTAGATATTTCGATCGCAAGTTTGACACACCGTTTTACAGCCTGGCTGTAACAAGGAAAGCTTCGGAAATCCGACTGCAGTGATGTGTCAGTCTTTAATTAATTTTTGATGTTTTGTTTTGTAATGTTCCTCAATTAGAGAGGAGTAGAGATTATGCAACTATCCCATCAAATCATGTTGACGTAATATGTTGCTTTGCAGTTGAGTTTTGGCGGGATGAAGTTCGAATAGTCTTTCCCCTGAAAAGTGGTCGAAGTTTCAACAATCACGGGAGCCCTAGTTCTCTAATATGTCCTCTTTTATCCACAATCATTGCAAGGATCCTATTATCAGGATGAGAAAGGAAAGCATTCTGCTGAGTTATTATCGAAACACATAAAAATTTCAACATTTTTCAAACTTTGAGTGCGATGGGCGAGCGAAAGGTGCAATTTCATTCGAAAAAAAAAATTTTTTTTTTCATGTTGCTTAGCTAGGGCGATAGCAACCTTTCCGGGATATGGTTATCAAAACACTAAAAAAAAAAAAAAAAAAAAGTCCTTTCCGGCCCATTGTGCCCGGCGGCACCTTGTTGTGCATGTATTCAGGCCAAACATAAAAGAAATTAATAAAAGTAAACATAATTCTTAAACTAAGTGTCCTTTTTTAGAATGTTCAATAAACAGAAGTAGAATACATTGCATGCCTACAGTAAAGGGCATGGGACAGCGTATCTGTTCACTAAATAAAGATGCCTTTCATTCAAATGTGTCTACTATCGAAAATTTTATAGTAACTAGATACAACTATATTGTGCAACTTATCGAAATTCGCACTGATATCTTAGTGACATAATCTGGTATTTGCTAGGTATTCCTCAAACTATTAAAATTAAAAATACGTGAATGAAACAGAAGTGCGATATCAGTTACTTATATACCATTTGTTTGTATTTTCAGATATGCTGCATAGGGATTTAACGGGAAATGAAGCAGCTTTTGTTGAAAAGATAAAATCGCAATTTGACAACTGCATGTATGAAGGTAAGAATTGTTTTAAAGATATGCTTTAATCATTTAATTAGAAATCAAATTGTTCAGTCGATAATCAGTACAAATAAAGTTCTTAACCTTGTTCTTGAGCTTCTCAGACAATAATTGAACTTAGTTTTGATATTAATCCTTTATTGGCACAATATAATTAGGGATAACTTTACACACTTGACGATACACAACACATCTTAGCTGTACTGCAAAACATTGACTTTAAACAGTTAGAATTAAAACAGTTAGAACGTATCAACTCCATCTCTCGGCTAGAGTCCGCAACATCCTTCTTTGCCGACAGTTCACCAGGATACTAAAAAGTTCTTTAAGAGTTGATTGAGAATTCCAGACGGCACAACAGTTGCACAGGTCTCCGAATGAGAGTTTCATTCGAAAGTCTCACAGTGCATGCGCTACGTCCAGGACGCAGTTTGTCGCAGGGATGCAGTTTTGGTTTTCCACGCGTTGTCGTCTCTTATCAAAACCACAGTATTCTGGTTCATTTGGATCACTGAAAGCAAAAGTTAGAGTTGATATTTACCTCTTTCTCTATCAATATAACTTCCAGTTTTTGAAATGAAACTGATGCTTCTTCTAATACTCTCCTCAGGGACATCTTAACCGACCTTGTAAGTGTTTCTGAAACCACTCCACCAAGCCTGCCTTTCGACGATAAATTTCCATTTGATAAATAACTTCCAAAATAAAGTTTGCACTTCTTTCCCTATTATGATTTTTCACAGCATATTTAGTTCTCAGCTTGCCTTGTAGAATGTCCTAGCATTATCACTGTAGCATTATCACAAGTGAAATGTTGACGATAAAATAAACTTATAAAATGAAAGCATTACAAGATAAATGATAGCAGCATTTATACCCCATGTGTGCAGTCTCAAAAATTCGGAGTCAGTGCAACAGCTCATTGGCCCATTTTTTGAAACCCCTCCCTCAGTGAAGATACTGATGTGCACTTGTGCATCATGCCACCGGTGCAACTTTTGGTTTTGAGGCTACTAAAACTGAACTATATTTTCCAACTACATCGCTGTAACATATATACCTTACAGCTACATAAACTGTTTTTCTTGCATCTACAAAACAATGAAGTTGCCAGTTAGTTAGTTCTTCATTTTCCTTTAGCTCTTAGTGGTGATGTCACTTCGGACAAATAGTGCAGTTCTTCACAATAACTTTGATATGTTTTCGCAAATCCGCTGATAGGGGTTCACCCCAGTTCAGCCGTCTTTTCCAGAACCTCTTGAAGTATCATTTTCGCTCTAACCGTGAATGGAGAAGTAATTCTATTTGAGTTAACAGCTTCCCAACAATTCTTATCACACATACCTTCGAAAATTTGAATTCGTATACATTTCTTCGTATTCATCAATTTTTCGTCGTCAGTGCTTAGACACTTGTCCTTATAATTCCAGCAGTACCTATGCATCTTACACGGTGAAGTATCGGAAATCGTCTTTTCACTGAATCGATCTTGAAGTAGCTGCATATTTGTTCACCAATTCCTCAAATTGAATCCGGCTTTTTCTAAAACAATTTCCAATTTATTCCAATTTTAATATATGTATTAGCATTGTTAAATATATTTGAAATACATAATTTTTTGTGAATACGTTTTTAATCCCGCTGATCTGATAATAATGTTAGCAGTGAAATTCTAGAAATGTTGGAATTCCAGTGAAGGAAGTTGATAGCTTTAAAACTGAAACAAATCGTCTTTTATCAAATAATTTGATGGTTTTAAAATTACTGATCTGATATCCAAGTAATCAATAATGATCTGGTATCAAATACATTTTACCGGTTTTATGGAGCTTTAGGACTGAAGGCAAGTATTTTTAGATTCCGTTAGAATGTCATTATTTATAAAACTAATATCATCATTGCATCTATAGGTAAATTAAAATTTCTCGATTCACTGTAATTTTGCATGTTCATTCGGTTCAATTTCCAAAGAAATGAGATTACAAGTGGTGGCTGAATAATTTGTCATAATAGCAGTTTCTTCAAACAAGACCCATTTAAATGCATCAAACACGCTATTTAATCAGCTTGTTATTGCATTACCAGATGTTCAGAAGGTATTGCTGCGGAAACCGGTTGTTCCAGCAGCCGAGCGGTAAAGTCACTGAATACTAGTAGTTTCGACGTGGGTTCGGTTCCGGCTGCATGGGCGTTTTCGTTTTTTTCCACATGTATAACATGTTTACGACCCAGTTTCCCTAGAAAACCTGCACTTAGAGGCACTTAGAGGCAGAAATAACTCTAGTATGGTTTGCCATAAACAACTAAAACAAATCAATTGTTGCGGAACAATAAAAATTGGGGGAATTGTGTCAAGATAGTTGCGAGGAAAGCTTGATTCCAGAAGGTCTGTGGAATGAAACCCACAAATGTGACTGTACTACGAGAGAGACATCAAATTCATACGAGAGATTTATCAAATTCATACGAGAGAGTCATCAAATCATCAAAGAGAGACAAAGACTCACTCTGATTGTTCAACTTAATCATCCTGCTTCCCAGATTTGATGTTCCCGAACTACTTGCTTTGCGATTATCAAATGCGAGTCTTTTTGGATTATTTGGGGAAGACTGACAACTTCAACGCTACCACCAGGTTTAAAATACATGCTATTCCACCGGACCGGACTATTACGACTATTACAGAAGTCGCATCCCGACAAACAATGAACCGAAGCTTTGACCTATTCACCCGATCAGAAGGAGGACATTTAAAGAACCTTCATTTCAAAGATCATTGATGCCCATATTATTAAATGCCTATATGAATATTTTTATTGTATTTTCTTCCTCTTTACTGCATGCCTTCGTGGTGTAACGGGTATTATACTCGGCACGTATTCGACAGATCTAGGATCAAATTCCGGCGAAGGCATTGCTCATTTTTCGTGGTTTCCTGCTTCAAAATGCCTAATTTCTCTACAGTGGCTCCTGAAATAAAAGGTGGTGAATGATGATTTTTCACCACAAAGATTCGGCGATTGAGTCCCCTAATCCCCAGTCGCCTTTTAAAAGGGAGAACATATAAAGTACTTTCTCCCTCCTTACTGCATGCCTTCGTGGTGTAATGGTTAGCACACTTAGCGCGTATTTGAGAGGTTAGGTTCGAGTCCCGGCGAGGGTATTGCTCATTTTTTATGCACTCCTGCTTCAAAAATTGTAATGATTCTACAAGGTTACCAGAGGCACACACTGTCTTTCTGTTTTTATTCAAGGGTGGGAAATACAATATGCGCTATCATGCATTACAACTGTCTCCAGATCTTCTCAATTATTCATACCTTGGTGCAGAACACAAATCTCTGCTGAAATAATTTGTATCTTTTCGTTTTTGACATTCATCATGTAACTGCATAGTGTATATGTGTGAACAGAAATCCTGCCGGGACGCTGGCCTTTTTAATTGAAATGCAGATATGTAAATAGGCAGAAGTAGTAATTCAGAAGACAAACAAAAAAAATCAGCGTTATATTTACAAAATTTCCACAGGACTAGGCAGAAGTAGTATATGCTTTTGAAAACCATCTTAGGAAACATTATGCAAACAACTAAGATGACATCATTTTTAATGCTGTCTTAAGGAGGTGTCCCTATACCATTTGAAAATATATTTCTCGCCAAGTAAAATAATATTTTATTGTATGCGATCTAGATATTTTATTAATTTGTGTAAGAAGCTGTGGGTTCAAACATATAATTATGTACCTCACTAAATTATAAACAAAACAAATATGTATCTTTGATTCTCATCTTTCAGTTTAGCTAATTTCAAACGAAAGCAGAATCGTTTTTGATCAGAAATTAATTAGAACCACAAGTACCTAATTTGGTATTTACTTCAAATACATACCACCCAGACGGATAAGTAGTTTGTGACTCTGAGTGCCGCATCGAAGAGGCCGCCTTGAATCCTGGACAGGGAATGGTTGTAAATTGTCTGTCCGTTCATAGGAATTAACGGTGGCCGCTTATTTGGCTTCCATAATATAATGACCACCACTTCTGCCCTTAGTATTGGCCTAAAATGGTTAGTACCCCCCCCCAAAAAATAACACACTTCAGATACATTTATGAGTCTTGGGAAGAGTTATTTCTAAAAATAGGAATTAGCGATCTTTAATAAGTTGAGAACATATGAGATGATGTAACGGAGATTTCATTTTTGGAAATCCAAAAGTTACAGAATTACTAGGAATCGACTGCTGTTCTAATCTAACTTGACCACTACTTTATCAGTTTTAAGTAAAATAATATATGGAAGAGAATCAGTTTCATGCAGTACGGTTTTATATTTCTATTTTAGTTTACATTAGAAACGAGTGTTGTTATTTGTATTTATGGTAGATAGTCTTTGTCTTTATGTTCACTTAAAATTTTATGTCGTTAGATAAAATCGAAACGGAACAACACCGTCCTCTGGTAAAGGTTCTGAGAAAAATTGTGCAGTGGCCAATAGTGGAAGGCGATTACTGGAGTAATCACACACTAAACTCACAATCTAGTTGGACTCGCATTCTGTTTAAACTTCGCAACCTGGGATACAACCACAACATTCTCTTTACTGTGTCTGTCATAAAGGACCCTACGAACATTTCATTGAACATCATAAAGGTCAGTATACAAATCTTAACGAAATGATGTTTGGTATACCTAAACGCGCGATTTTTTTCAAATAAGGATTTTTGCAGGAGAAGGCAATTAAAGGACGATTATTGTTAATGCAATAATAATTTTCTGTCGACGGTTCTAAAATCAGGTTTCTGTAAATACTTAATGAGCTTGCACTGAAACAAAAATACAAGGAATTTTCAAGATTATTTGAACATAATATCTTACGAAAGAAGGTTATAGGGTTACATTTAATCTGCTACTTTAATCCTATAACCGTAACAGACGGGATCGAGTTATCGCTGTGTCTGAGGTAAACGACAAAGTTTTAATAAGTTTGTAGCAGTATTTTTATTTAAATAGAACTTGGAACATAAAGGCACGCTTTTATGTTCAGTTTAATTTTATTTAACAATTTAAATTAACATTGAACAGCAGCTAAAAAACTACGCAATTAAATGCGAAACTGAAATGTGGCTCAATAAATTTACTGATTCGCCAGAACTAAAGTATCGGTGACGAAAGACTGCAACACCGAATAGGTATAACTGTTAGAGCTAGCACGAGGTAAACAAATAGCACACAAATGTACACTGCGGGGGAAAAAAAAAAAAAAAAAAAACTGAAATGTTTCAGATTTTAAATTACGTCCAAAGGGGCGTTTTTTAACATTTTGTGTGTTACCTTTCTTTATTAAATATCATGTTCCTCGCACTTAAACCATAAGATCCAGTGCAACAGCAATATCGCAAAATAGTTTTAAAACGAGCATATCTTTAGAATTTCCGATACAGAGACTCACGCGCTGGAGATAAAAATGTTTTTTCTGCACAACGTTGCCATTGCTCGCTTTGAAATCCTTGAGTTTGTTAATCAAAAATTCGTCAAAGTTTTAAAAAATAGGAAATCGATCATAAAACAAATTTCAAATTTCAAATTTGGTCTTCCGCATGCTCATATTCGTTGGAGGATTACGTTATTCAAAATTCGATACTCTATGTACCGTTGTTTTATGACAATGTGAGAAATATACATACATTTACGCAGATTTTCATTATTTAATTTCTTCAAATATAATGCAGGACTCTAACATTTTATGGCAACAGTTTGAAAAGTGAACCGACATTTATCCGTCCGAAGCAAAATCCCAAAACGAAAGTAATAGTCCTTCGGGACTCAAGTCCCTTTGGACTAAAAAAAAAAAAAAAAAAAAAAAAAAAGAAAAAAAAGACAGTTCTATATCTCCCGTTCTCGTGGGCCGATTGCTAAATTCAAATTGCGTTTTTGATGTCTCAAGAGCGCGACTTAAGATATGTATTAGATTTATATATAGCTTTGTTCTAACATAGGTGTTTTGACACAAAATCGGACCTTTTCTGAAATAACATACCATTTTTTTTCCTAATTTCGATTCTAAGGCTCAAATTATGCCTAGATATTAAATTTTGTAAAATTTGGTGCGAAATTTACGGAGAAATTCAAAACATTTTCTTGGCGCAATTTTTTCAGTTTACGCATAGAATAATTCACTTGGCAAACTTCTTATCATATGGGAAATAATTTCCTTTCCATTATGCCGTAGGGGAACAAAAGGCACCTCGTTCCTACCTTTTCCACTGTGCATGAGTCACATCGTTCCCACATTTCAAATAATTTTTAGCGAAGTGCCTAAATCACATTTGACATTTTATCGCTTTCAACAGATATGCCAAATTTCAAAACACGCCAATTTATAAATTCGCGTATATCTTCGGAAATTTTAAATAAAAAACCGCTTTTTTTTTTTTTTTTTTTTTTTTCCAGGTATGCTTAGAAATACATCTACTTTAAGATGATGGTAAAAATTTCATAGATTGTAATTCCAAAAGTTTTTGAAAAAATTATAAAAATTATTTAAAAATACAAATTTTAAAAATAAATTTTAAAAATGGGCGAACTTTATTTGGAATGAACCTGAATTTCGAAATGTGAAAGGAAGAATCAAATAAGTTTAATAAAAAAAAAGAGAAATTAATAAATATATACCAAATTCAATTAACACTGAAGAACTAAAATTTTGAGAGCTAATTTTTCAAAAACTACTCGTGCCTTCTATACAATAATAATAATCTTGTAATTAGTTTGGCCTCATTAGAGTCATAGAATCGAAATATGGAAAAAAATTGGCATTTCATATCAGAAAAAATCCGATTTTGTGTCAAAATACCTATATTAGAACAATGCTATCTATAAATCTAATACATATCCTAAGTCGCGCTTTCGAGACATGAAAAACGCTAGTCAATCGTCCCAGTAGAACGGGAGATATCGAACTGTCCCATTTTTTTTTCTACCAGTATACGTAAACACATTCTCTCTTTAAATATCCAAAAACCTCAACTTAAATGCTCACAACTAATTTGCAGGAATACAGAAAGGGGAAGTTATAGTAAAGCTCGAAATAATAATAACTGGTTAATTAAAAAAATAACCTTATAAAGTTTCATGTAGTGAAACATCAACTTTATTTCTTATCCATCAGATCTACAGGTATTTATCTGCTTACAAGATCATGGCAAATAATCAGAGTTAATTTAAGCAATCCGTTAGTGAGATAATTAAACTTTGATCATCAATAGTTACTCTCGTTGCGGTGGCTCTCAACACTAAGTATTTTGTTTTCAAGAGTGGAATAATAAATAAATATATGTTTATCAGATACGTGATAAGAATTTTGTGCTGTAAAAAATTAGAAGGCGACGTTCTGATTTCCAAATTGCGAATTGTTGATGACTTAAAAATAGACATATGAATCAAATTTTACAGCAGGTGCGTCTGAAAAATTACTTATTTGCAGATTCAATGATCTTGCAGTTTTGCTTCATTTTAGCAAAAATGAATATGACTGGCTCTTCGAAGGATCTAGATAATTGTCTCTATTATGGCAGCAGACCATGCATAAACAATTAAGATTTATGAACTTGAAGAAGAAACTTAATATTATGAGAGATTGCAGCTTTAATTTGCTGTCACCGATAGAAGACGTCGAAGAAAATGTTGCTCTCAACGATGATTTTTTTTTTCTTTCTGAAAGTTGCCGGTAGATATGCCGTTTTTAGTCTAAAGAATTCTTTGTTGATGAACTGGATGTGTCTAGGTAGAATCTGTACACCTTGATGGTCATACCATTTGGCTTTACAGAGTCCTATAGTATCGATATTTGCGAATCAAGAGTCTACAACAGAAGAGACCATGACTCAACGTGTGTAAAAAAGCGTCTCAGGAAAACAACTCTACATTTTATTTCATCGTTTTTCTGTACGACGAAGCGACGATTACTAAATTTGGGCAGGGGGTACTGAATGTCGATTACATTATCGGACAGGACAGAGGGATCGACCGAGTTCACGCAGACATACATGAATCTGTTGGGTTGCAGCCTTCCATTTACAAATTGTGCGCATGGCTGTATAAGTGAGTGTTAGGTTAAGAATGGAATGGGCATGTACCGAAAAAAAGATTAGGCCTTTGAGCCTATACCACTAAAACTGCAAAGATAATATTTTTAAGATATACATCTATTGCTTTTAAATAATTGAGTTTGTTAATTAAAAACAGGCAGATTAAATGAGAAAGATAAATATGTTATGATTTTTCGAATGGCAACAGATTCGAATGAAAATTGAAACAACACAAAATTTTGATTCTAGACTAGTGGTCTTTTAGGGCTAGAAATGCTATATACACGTTAGTAAATAACAAAAGAATATTATCGAGCAGTATTTAAGATGAAATATGAAACTTATTTACTTTATTTACAATTAAATTGTATGTTATTCAAGTACCCAATAAAATACAGTTTTCATTAAAAAAATAAATAAAAAGGCAAATATTTGATTTTGTTGATATAAATTTCGAAAATCTAGTTTTTACTCATGGCCAATTACACCTAATAAAATATAACCTATCAGTCGGAAGTATTAAGATAAAAATTGCCGATAGATGGAGTATGAGGATATAATTAACATGTTAAAATTTGAAGGTATTGGAGCTGGAGAGTTCAAGAAAACGATTAATAATTTTCGCTCAGCCTCATACACAGAAAATGGCCTCACACACCTCTAAAATAAAAATGCTGATTTTACATTTTGGCACTCGAAATAAATATTTCAGAGAACTGTAGACATTACCCGTCACCAAAAAACCGAAGAGCTATCTGCATTTTTAACTTTGATGACAGAGCATCTCGAAAGAATGTATATATATATATATATATATATATATATATATTTTCTGAATAAGTGGAATGACCATTTCCAATAAAGTTTCAAAATATCCTTCACCCCATTCTAATGAAGGTTTTGTAATTACCCTCGCCCGGAAGTTCATTTAAAAGTTGATTTAACGCTCCTAATTCATCACGGAGAGCTACCCAATCACGTACCCATCTCTTCTCTTCTTTTTTTCGAGAACCGAAATTAATTCGTTGGAAACAGGGTCGCAAACTTCAAGCACTGCAACTGCCACGTCGGTATCCATTTTGTAAATAAACGGAGGCAAATTGTCAATCCGCTCTGATTGGCATAAACAATTTATCAGATTACAGGTTCGTTCTAGGGATAAATAGTCTCTTCTCACTCAGGTCGTGTCGCTGTAGCAAGGGAAGAGATAAATAGAAGCCGTAGCAAGAGCAGGGATCTCTTCTAAGCAAAGAGGCTCACTGCAGGTCACTCGGAGAAAGGTAAACTCCCCTTCTATGAATCACAGAAAAGGCGATTTTCTTTCATGGTGCCGCTGTAACATTAAAGTACTGGCACTTATTGCAGCTCCAACGAAACAGTGGTTAGTGACTAGTTTTGGGGCAAATAGAGCCCGGATTCTTCAGTACTTAGCCGAAGTACTGAAGAATCCAGGTTCGAACTGGAGAAGGCATGGATGTTTGTAAATGCATAGTCTTTATGTGATATGAAAGCACTTTAAATATATGACGAGCCAAAAGTCCTATCGTGTTGTTTGGTAGTAAGGGAGATTGGTGGAAGAACCTCGGACCCCCCCTCCGGCCTGCTTTTCCTCAAAATTGGGATGGAAGTCGAACCTTCTTGAGTCTCTGGCAACCATTCTTCTATGAAATATAGACTCAACAACAAACAAAGGAACAAACCAAAACTTGTTTAAGAACTGGTTGACAAAACTTACTTTATCTTTTCTAATTCCAATACAATTGCTAATTTTTGTTCTTTTCTAGCTTGACAAGCCATCATTTGGAATAGATCGTCAATCTCTACTAAATGGAATTAATGATAACTCCACAGCTTCTTATTTAGAACTGATGATGAAAGCTGCTCACTTGTTGGATTTAAATAATGGTTCCTCTATACAGTTTACTGTAAAACAAAACATAAAAAAAGAAATGGAAGATGCGCTGAATTTTGAAATCATGCTCGCGAATGTAAGTACAGAAGATTTCCTATTTTTTCTTTTCATCTATAAATTTTACGCAACACTTATCTGTCTTCGCTACTTTTTACTTCCTTGTACGAAGTAAAAAGGAAGTATTGTAATCGTGAAAAGTTTCAGGCAGCATATTTCAACGAAAATATCCATTTTGACCGCTATCGAATGCAATTTAACGATGTTCTTGCGTGATATCTGTACGTAAGGACAGAATAAAATACTCTTTTCCTTCAAAAAAATTATAAAACTGCTTTAAAATTAATTCTGAAGAGAATTTATCGTGGCGTCTGTACGAACGTATGTACGTACGTACGTACGTGCGTACGTACGTATCTCGCATAACTCAAAAACGAGTAGCCTCAGAACGTTGAAATTTTGTATATAGGATTGCTATAACATGTAGATGTGCACCTCGTATTTTGGTTGCAATCGGCCGCACCAAACATATATAAATATATTTATATATATATGCACTCTGTTACCCGGCACAGTGATCTCAGTTTCTTTACTCTTATATGTTGGTAAATTGAATATTTTTTACTTTAAAAATGATTGAATTATGTTGTTTTTATCTTCCGGTTAAGGATTTTATGCCTTTAGTAAATCTGTGTGCAATATTTTTAGAATTATGAGCAATTTTAAAGTTGTTTAATTGCCGCTAAGCCTAATAATGTTTTTGATGGCGGCCATTGCTTGTTTACATTTGAAACAGGAGACTAGTGGATTTGTTGCCAATCTAGAGAAACTTAGCTTCGCTACATCAAAGATAACGCCTTCATTTATTTTTTAAATCATGCTTAATCCTTTCTGGAATTTTTTCGAGGAAATAAACGTTTAAGATTTACTTCGTAATTTTTAATATAGATATTTTGAGTTTTTATGTATTTTTGACTTCTCGCGAAGTGAGAACTGAATTAATTAAATGAGAAATACTCAATCGTCTGTGAAAAACTGTTTCTTTTTTGTTTTGTTTTCTTAATTTCTTTTATGCATCATTCTAGCTTTATTATAGTATTTAAATAGAACATGTGGCAGCGATTAGATAATTCTATTCTTTAAATGATATAAATTTTGTGGAACGAAATATATAAGTTAGCTGTTATATAATTATTGGATTATATAACAGTTAACTTAGTTTCCGTTATAAAATTATTATATAAGTTAACTGTTATATAATTATTAATACTGTTAAGTGAATCTAGCGCCAGAGTGTCGCTATGGTAAACAACTACTAGAGTGAATTTTAAAGAATGCATTTATTCTATTGTGGTGTATGCGCTGTTGGAGAAGTAGATTTAATTCAATCCAATAAGTTTAAATGAAATGCAAGAAAAAATGCGTATAAGTTAATATTCCAATTTAATATTCCAGTACAAGGAAGTCATGTGGTGTATGCATCAGATTTTTTTATAATAATTTGCTGCAAGAGAATTTAATTTTATTCATTGTTGTTCTATAATGGTGTAAAATTCCTAATATTCATTCACAAAAGTGTGAGTTCTAAGGGCATCTAACTACGATAACAATCGATTAATTAGTGACAAGGAGTAAAACAAAGCTTTGTTCTAATACATTAGGCATTCTATAATAACATTTATTTTGAAGCAATTTTGTGGCATATAGAAACCAAGTTATTGATAAGGAAAATATTAATTGACTTACATTAATATGCGGTGAAACAAACTTTTAAACGTTGGTAGTGTTACCTCGAGTATTTTATTCGAACTTTTGAAAATTTTAAAAAAAATATTCGCATAACTTTCCCTTCCTGTATAGTGCATAGTTTTTTTCCCTCTGATGACTAGTTTATTCGTAAATTGTATTTCCTTGATTATTTAAATTTTTATTCAGAGTATTGAGTTTGCATTTGTATTTAATCTATTTTATTATTTTTTGCATTTATTATTCAAAAAGTATTTGGTGCAGATTCTTCGTTAAGTTATCTTCGTTAAGCTTCTCACATTTAAGAATGTTTCCAAACATTCTTAAATTCCTTACTTCTATCACTTCTTCCAACCCACTTTAGCCCTATCTACTGCTGATTTATTCCATCTTTCGAAAACTAGATTTTTTTTTACCCTCTTCTCCTTCATTCCTCCAATGTCCCTCTTGGGAAGTAAAGTTAAGTCTTAATTCATGCGAGGTTTGCTTCTGAGGCTTTATGAGGTAGTTCCATCTACCGTCAAATATTGGCAATCCATCAGATGTATTGCTAATATTATATATTCTTATTAGAATGTAGGTTTCTTTTAAAGAAATAACATTGTGATAGTTACCTATAGTTTATTATGATTATTTTTCATTTGTTATGTCCTTATTGCAACCGCGTTTCTTGGAAATTAAATTATTCGCATAATTTTCTCTGTCGATTTTCGGGCGACAAAATTAGTTTACAATAAAAAAATACGCAAATTAATACTTTAATTTTCCTCCATATACTAGGAACTTTATATAGCGTACGATATTATTCTATATTAATTTAAGCACGATTTTAATGGACTCTTCTGGTATAGTGATGTGTGGTTAAAGCTTCCGCTTTGAAACATTTCTCAGATGCTCTGTTGGGTTAATATATGGCAACTGTGACGGCCATTCTAAGATATCTTAATATCGTGATTTCACTGATTGAAACGATTGATTTATTGCTTAATCATTTGAAATGTAGCGAGCTCGACGTTTCACAGTCGAATAATTTCCAAATTAATGATTCTGACACCGTTATGTGAAGATACACATCATTATATTTCTTTCCTCATCCATACCGCACAATAAGCACCACGTTCTTTGGGATATATTTGATTCTATTCTTCGTTTTAAGCATGGCACGTAAATGCAGCAAACACATAAAATTTATGTAAACAACTTATTTCTATGTGACAAGGAACAAATTAAAAGTTTGCTTGAAAGTTTAACTTACCAGAAAGAAGAAAATTTAACTAACATCCCTCTTTAACCATCGGTTACCTATTGGTCATTCTAACTCTAACTTTCAATTTGAGTCATTGAAATTTGAGTCAGACTTTACTTCAGTAAAATCATAATAGCTTACGATAATAGGAAACTTATCATAAAACGCACGAAATATATTGCAGATTATTATATATATTTACATATCTGAGTAATATTGGGCAATTTGGACTAGAATGTATACCAACATTTGCGTTTATATGTGACAACATCTACTTAAGAATTTCCCAGCTTGCTTAAATATGAGATTTAAAATCGCTGATTAACATTAAGTTCTGCATATTTTTTTGGAATAAATACACTTCATTTATTAATTTTATTTAACACTTAATTTTATATTTATATATAAGTTAGTCCGAGAAATGTATGGCGTCTTCAATTAAACTGAATTTATTCACTGAAGAATCGCTTTCCAAACTAAGAGATACACACAAGAAAGAGAGAGAGAGAAATTAATGTTTTTAGTAGAGACTGTTTAACAGTTGATTCACTTTGTTGTTACTTTTGAAACTACCAAAAAATATTGGATGTGCCCGTATAAATTTTTCCAACATTTCATTTGTTTAACTGCTTTTCATATACTGTGAACAGTTAAAGAAGTTTTCTGAAGAGTATTAATAGAGAAAAATCTTAAAACAAGACAGCAGGGAATAATAGAAGTTGTAAGAATTTCGAACTGAATCTTAAACAGGAACTTAATGCTTTTTTACCAATGATTTAAAAAATAAAACAGTAATGGCATTTAAGAATTATATGCTTAGGCATTTAAGAATTATATGCTTAGTAATCAGGCGTGTAATTAGACAAACTAATGAAATCGTAACTAAGTAACTAAAAATCTTATATTTTTGCAGAAAATTAATATTTATTTATTTATTTTTTGCTGAATCATTTTTTAGAATAATCTAATGAAATAAAAGCATTTCTTTCCTTATCCATACCTCACAATGAGCACCACTTTCTTTGGGATATATTTGATTCTATTCTTCGTTTTACGCATGGCACGTAAATGCAGCAAACACATAAAATTTATGTAAACAACTTATTTCTATGTGACAAGGAACAAATTAAAAGTTTGCTTGAAAGTAACTTACCAGAAAGAAGATTATATTAGTATATGCTAATAAGTATAAGTCGAGACAACATTTCGAAAAACAAGTCATGAGGAGATTTGAAAGAGTGTCCAGAACAAGAAACGATTTTAATTAATCAGAAATTTCATTCTTTGGTATGATATTTGTAGGATTTTATTCTAATTAACCAATTATTAGAGCCTGAACCTTCAAGTTCTTCTTTCCCTAGTCCTCACCAGAATGCAAATTAGTTCTGGTTATTTAAGCCAATGGTTTGAACGTTTTAGAGTGACAGCTTCTGGCAGCCTCGTCTTGAAGTCATGTACTATTACCAGCTCTGCCAAAGTTATTTCGGTTTTAGGATCTTGATAGATGTTTAAATACGTACCATTGATTGTGTTAAGCCAGCTTTAGTCTACTTTGTGTGTAGTTTAAGATAATGCTACCTACATTAAAATGGATTCATCTTATGTTAAATACCTTCAAGTAGCTGGGATTCATCTGTAGCATAACTAATAGAGCCATGTGTTCATTTAAGCGTTAAATAAAAAGGTTATTTTAACCTTCCCAGATCTTTGTCATTTCTTTCAGACTAAAGCGATAACTCTCTCTTCATTCTATTAGTGTCTGTAGAACACACAGAGACAAGATTCTAGTCATAGAAGAACCCAAAAATTTTCTCCTTAAAATATGCGTGTGACTTGATTATCAAGTTAATACTACATCTTGTAAATGCTTAAGTAATCTGTTTACAATTAAAGTTTTGGACTCTTTTCATCCCATCATTTACTGAAATGTAGTAATTTTCTGAAGTATATCTCTTTAAACCTATTAAATGATTTTTACAGATTTCTTCCAAATATGAGTACCTGCCATACAGGCGTCAGTCGAATCAAAGGATCACAGTTCAAGATCTTAATAATAGGATGCCGCAGGTAACATATACATTAATGTGTAAAACCTTGTTTGATACTAAGAATCGAGAAAGTAATAATCTTCCTAATCATTTACAATAACTAAGCATTAAAGAACATGCATGTAATAAAAATGCCCAATTTTATTTTTGCTTTTCAAATCATAATGCTTAATTAACATTACATCAGGTATCTGATGAGGTATCATCAGGTATCTGAGGTACTTAATTGCGTTTTACATATTATTCATTTGATTGTCAAAAAAGTAACACAATATACTTTATCACTCTAAGAATACCTTTTCCCGAATAATATGCATAAACAGAGACCGGCAAAGCGAAAAAATCTTCTTTCATTTGAGGACTTACTTTTTGTCTGTTTCAGTTTATTTTCCTAGTGGATTATCAAGCTATAAACTGCGTTCTATAATTCAGCAGAGTGATCTGTATTTTATACTTTAGAAAGCCATCGTGATTATTCATGAGTAATTTAATCGTTAGTTAGTTTCGTTTTACCATGAAATACTGTTATGTCTTTCACTACTTTATGAGCTTTTTTTAAGTCAATGCAAATTAGAAAAATTAATATTACATCTCAGAGTACGAATAATAGAATATGTTATCTTCTGAATTATTTCAGAGCTTTTATACTTAAAATGTTTATATTTTTTTTTATTAGAGATACTTTTATTTACCTTATATGCAATTCGGTGTGGTGTATTTAATTATGGCAAAGCACACTAGGACTATCTGCCTAAGGGGAGAGATGCCTTCGTGGAGAACTTTCTAAGGGAAACTGGCTCGTATACACGTTACACATGGGGAAAACCACGAAAACACCCATGCAGCCAGCCCGTTCGCGGGATTCGAACCTCGGACCGAACTACCAGTGTTCAGCGACTTTATCGCTCGGCCGCTGGTGGGCCTAATTTTAAATTATGACTTCAAGGTATGAATACCCTCTGGAAAATGTTATTGGTTAGAAGCCTAATCTAGAAAGTAATGAGAAAGAGAAATGCTAGATATTCAGATGTTAATAATTAAGTCAACCCAGATTATATACTACCAAACATTCAAGATTTTGAAGAACAAACAAATAAAGAATACAGGTTTTATGCTATTATTTATAACTTTAAACTGATTAAGTAGAATAAGTATTTTAATGCTCTTCAAATTTCAAAAAAATTATTTTCTGACTATAGTCCAGCGATAGATTTTATTTCGCATTGGCATACGCAGGATCTATCACCATTTGACTCAATTAAATATTTACATCAAAATAAAATAATTGTAATAGAAGTTTCTATTCTTATGCAATTTGCATGATGTATAACGGATTTCATAGGTATTTAACCGAGCTTTAGTATATTTAAATGTACGCTTTAAAACATATAACTGTATAAGCAAATTTAACAACATTATAAACTCCAAAAAATAAGCTGCTTGTAGATAAAACTATAAATTGATATCTAAAGAATTTCAAAGGGATATCCATTTGGCTAACGAGTAAGTTCTGTTATTAAATAGGTAATGAGTAATCAAAATGCATTTTCTACCATTAAAGCATTTAAATCCCATAAAGCATTTAAATCCCATAAGGATTATTTTGATTCAGCTTTAATTTTAATCATATAAGTTAATAGTTATTATGAAGTGTTGAATTAAACTTTGTTGTTATACTTGTTTAAACTAATACTCGTCATAATCAATAGATTCTACTACCTAGTTATCAAACAACTTCATAGTTGTTCAACAAATATTTGTTCAATGCAATGTAAATATAGACTACATTTATTAAAAATATTCTTAACATATTCAAACATTTCATTTCCTCTGAGGTACAAAGGAAATACAATACTATAATAAATGAGACACATTTTTAGTACATAGGAAAAGTATCAAGTACAAGTTGTTTTAATCTCAAAGAAATATACTAAAAACATCCCTAGTTCAAACAGCTGCTGGTTGTCGATTGTTAACAACAGCGTTATATGCTGCTGGTTGTCGATTGTCGAAGGATTCTGGAAATCCTGCTGTCCACAGCAGTCATGCTGTCCAAAGCATTTCAAAGTATCCTCTACAGTTTAGAATTTTTTTTTCTCTCCTTTATCCGTTCCTTACTATGTGATATCCTGCTGGAGGAAATGCTATTTGTTATTGTCATTTGCAAAACATGTGGTAATGCAAGAGGCTGCAGCACCTGTTCGCTGTATCATCGTCTCATCGCTGTACTTTCTACATATAATGCTGATAATCTATTATCTATTTTCTTGCTTATATTTCAAAGACCTATGGCTCCACGTTGAAGAGACGCGTAACCCACCAGGTAATGGCCTGTGCAAGGCTGTGCTTTGCGCAAAAGCTGCAGCTGGGATGTTCACACGAGACAGTTTTCCTGAAACAGTCTTGCTACTATGAAGGCCTCACTTTACTTAGAAAGAGTTTTGTTTTTTGCATTATCGCGGGCATATTGTTATGGCTCCGAAGGATATTCCCATAGCTGATATGAATTGGGATAGTGATTCGGACAATGATATTCTTGAACTGGACTTTGTTGAGAAAGATGAGTTAATACAAAATTTGTTAGACAAAGACGTTTTCGTCTAGAAAGAACTTATCAATGTGAAGAACGTTATTTCGACACCGCAGACGATAAGATAGATTTATTCGGGTGGCCAGTGAAGCATTCTTGAAGAGCGCTCAAGTGAATAGGACTTCTCACCGTATGATTTTTGAAGGACGGATTGCCGGCTTGTAATATAGAATTAGAAACCTAATTAGCAATTAGGTAAGTTCGCTAGATTTAAGGCACGTAATAATGCTTATATAAATTCTTGTAAAAATGTTTCTGTTAAACCTCTTGAAAATCCTAGTAATAATGCGACTGATTTAACTGTTGATAGCGGAAGTAGTTCATGTAATAATGCCAGAAATGGTGTTGATTTTTGTATGCTGTTTGTACTCATTCAACTTCTGCTAAAAAAAACTCAATTAAGACCAAAAAGAGAGTTAAGGATAATGTTAGCAAAGACGGATTTGTCTCTCCTAGTAAAATTACCCGCCCCATTAAAATGTTGAAATATAATTTTGATATTAGTAAGGAAAATATATTTTGTATAAGTAATACAAAGGATGAGGCTGATGTTGATGTATTAGCTAATGTTGATTGTACTAATGTTGTTTATATGACTCATCCTTGAAGTGCTCCTTCTCCAGCGACAAGCAAACCGATAATGGTAATCCTGCTAAGTATAATGAGTTTGTAAAGAAACTATTGTATGAAACTATATATTCACAGCAAGAACTACAGTTGAATTTCTTAAGATTTTTCCTATGGATAGTAATCATCATAGGCCAATGACTAGATATTTTGAAGAAAATGGAATTCAACACTATACAGTGCATTGTGCTACTTTTAAATTATGGTCGTTTTTCGAGGCCTCTCTTCAGACTGCCCATACAAAGAAATTAAGAAGAAACTTAGAAGAAGGTTTTAATGTGATTAAGGTATGTCCGGTGTACCGATTTCAAACTATAGCCCCCAAGCCTCTTTTTCAAGTTCATCTTGTTAATGAGTCTGGATCCGCGCGTATCTATGAGATTACGCAATTAATGTTTTTCGATATTTCTGTGGATGCTTATAGATTTAAAGGCAGTGTGGTCAAGTGCCACAGCTGCCAATATTTTTACCACTTTTCAGAACAGTGTAAGTTATCCCCTCGATGAGTGAAGTGCTTCTTACCTTACAAAAGTCCTGAATGTGAAGCCACGTGGATAAATCTTAGGTGCTGTAATTGCGAACAGTCACATGCTACGGATTTTAAGATATGCCCAAAAAATCCAGCTAATGTCAAGAAAAAATTCTATAAAAGGAAAATGAGTTATCAGCTGACATTCCTCGATCATGTGGTGAGCCTCATGCTAGAAGACTGCAAAAGGTGCCCTGGAACATTTTGTCAGGGATTAGAATTAGTCAATGTAATAAAAATGCTAAAATTTGGAAAATTTAGAAAATAGTTCGAAACCGCTTTCTAAAAATCCATCCCAGCAGAAAATTTCAACGAATTGGAAATTCGCTGAGCAGAATTCTCTACACACAATTGAGCCTAAAAATAACTTCAAAAGCATCTTTTGTGCTAGTAACGATTTCGTTAAAATACTCAAATAAGTTATTATTATTTATTCGCAGTTTTCGATTACGGATATTTTCAGCATATTCGCTGAGACACTGAATGAAATTATCAATATTCAAGAGCCCATATATAAATTATTCATAGTGGTTGATATTTTTGAGGAAATCTTTAGCGGGAATTCTCCCACTAACGGAATAAATTTATCTCACTTTCTCGTCTAGGTTGTATCAAACGTTTACTAAATTTATCGTATACCCGGTTTAATTTGTTTGTGTATTTTCGGTTGCTTTGGTATTTCTAGTGAAGGTCGGTTTCAAGTATTATACTGCATTCGGTCTTTTATTTTTTGGGATATGTTTTCAGAGTTTGTGCTGCAGTCTGTATCTAGTTTCGCTTGGTTTATATTTATGTTGCGTGCCTTTATATCTTTCGCACTGCCTTTATTGTTGTTAAAATGTACTTTTTGTTCACCTTGTCACAGCTCGTTCAACTTATTTTCAGACTTTAAGTTCGTGAGAATTTCAGTGACACCTGCGTTTTAGTTACGGTATCTAAGTTCGATATCCTGTTAACACCACTGGCATCTCATAATGCTTACTCACCCTATTTTACTTTCGAGTGATATTTTCGAAGTGAACTAATTTCTCGAGGGAGGTAGGTTTCTCGAGAACCGGCTCTTCCGGTGATTCACCACTCGCACTGAAGGAAAGATAGTCTCTGAACGTTCAGCTGAACATACTAACAAACATACAGCGCCATAATTACAGGATAGTGAATATTTCAACAAAGTACGATGGCGTCCTCATACATTTTTATATTTATTATTATTACATTGCTTTATCACCATCAGTATCATTATTTTACTCATACTGTCCATGCTGCTGTCACTCGTAGTGTTAAGTAATGCTTTTAATATTACCAGTGATCTATAAAATACTGAATAAACATTGCCCCCAAAAATTTTCCTTCTGTTTTCTCTTGTTTACTGTTTGCTCTTGGTACATCTCGTTTTTATTACCTTGCAAGGTATTTTCTCTCTCCTTTCCCTATGGCTTCGTGGTGTAATTGAAAGCATACTTGTCGGCGGTCGAGAGATCCAGGGTTCGAGTCCGAGGGTTCAAGGACATTGCACATTTTTCGCGTCTCCTGCTTCAAAAAATTCCTAATGATTCTACAAACTTGTCAGTAGTTTTTACTTAATATTTTGCTATTTAACCTTCTACCCACACAAGGCAATGTAATGGTGTGGTGTATGGTGTATTTAATTATGGCAAAGCACACTCGGGCTATCTGCCTAAGGAGAGGGATGCCTTCGTGGAGGATTTTCCAAGCAAGGCAATGTAAATAAACAATCTCTGCCTGCACTGGCTAATGTCTTGCCTGCATTGTCCTTATGATAGCTACCACAGATTTTATAACTGATAATCAAGAAGATGTTAACCCTTTCTAAGAATGATTTAAGGTTTAAAATGAATTATGTGATAATCAATAATGGTGATAAATATTCCAGTTTCAAAGTTTTCTGAAGACGCTTAATTGATGTACTAGAAATAGAAAATTATGATGAATGTGTCCCATGACATTTAATATTCTTGCAGTGATAATGAATTGCACAAATTCGCGATGAGGATTCAGTTACAGGATATCTTTTCGAAAACGTGTCTCATCACGATTTTGTACCATCTAGTCCATAATTTGTGTGCTCTCCGAAATGCAGCTTTTAGATATTTCTCTAAAAGGATTCCAGGCTTTAACTAAAATTAGTAATACGATTTTTTGGATACGTGGATGCACACGTGATTGCTTTCTGTTTGTGCTTCATTCCTAGTATGTCAATTCATATTTATATCTTCCAGGCTTTCTCTCTCAATTCAAATAATAGTTGCTTGAATCGCATTTATTTTCTTCAGGACTATAAAGCAGTGATAGATTACTCTACAGCTAACTATATAACAATTATAGGCTTAGGATTGTAATAATAGTACTTAGGAATTTGATGAAAACATTCTAGATCGCATCTTGACGTCATTTTGATTCTTCGTTTTTACCGAATAAAAAAGCAACAGCAAGAATGAAAATAATTCTGGCAATCAGTTTAAAAATTTAGCCTAACAGATCAGTTTTCTATTTTAATCTTACTCAAAAATCTCTCGCTTATGAAATGTTATTTATTTTCGTATCGTTTTGGCACTGATCCTTGAAATTCCTTACAACAAAATTTCAGGATACTGCATTTTCTCTGACAGTAGTATTTTTTCCTTATCGTTTATTAATAAAAAAGAAAAAATAAACAAAAAATTAAAAACTTAAAACGCATAATAAATTCCCTTAAAACCTGTAAGCAATGTTTGCTCAAGTAATTCATATATACAATACCCATCTCTACAAAATAAGGAAATCCTTTTCTAGAATTGGCAGGAAATACCACCATTACAAGACTTAAGTGTACAAAATGAGAAATATTGAAACGCATTTTATAAGAAATAAATCTAAAACTGCTGACGGAATCATTGCTTCAGTGTTAAGTTTATTGTTATCAGGATATCTAAATAAGGCTTCTCAGATTCTCGTTTTCGCAATTTTATTTAGCTGTTTTAAGGTTTTTATATCTTATGTTGGGAACTTTTTTATGTGTGAATAAAAAATTCAAATAATTTGCTTTTATATTTCAATAGATCAATTGGATTAGGTTCCTCAACAAAATCCTAGTAGATCCAGTCAGTGCAAGTGAACCCTTGATCATTTTTAATCTAGACTGCCTGGAAGAGATCATTGGACTGATCAATAGGACGAACTCAAGGTAAGACAAAAATATTAGACTAATGATTAGCACTTTTTAGGGGGGGGGAGTTACAGGCTTTAAACAGCATTCTTTTCTCAATTTTCGTAAAACATTTAAAGTTAAATTTAAAATGGTACTTTATTTTGGTTAAAAACATAATTCTGAATTCAGGTTCTAAAATTTTTTCTGGTCTTTAAAAATTCATCTTCTGAAACTTAAAGAAATTATACAGTTTTGTTGCTTCAAATTTTACGCAATTTCGAAATCCACTCTGTAAACCAAGAAAGTTTTATTCAGTTTACTGGCATTTCTAATTTGTGATATACTTTTTATGTATCTAAAAATGGCAATTTAACGTCCTAAAATATAATGTATATACATATATATGAAATAGCTTTATACATGATGACACGAATTACTTCTTAATCATGGCCGAGATAATTGGAGACGTGTTGTTGGCACACAAACAGGATGCATAATAGACGGATGGAATTTAGAAAAACCGCAAATAGCCGGATATTCATTACATAAATTAATTTTCTTGAAGAATAATTTCCTGACACATTTCCTCCTTTTCACGTCCCTATGGGTGCAACAAGCACCCATGAATTTATACACATTTATTAGATGTTGAAACATTAGCCAATACAGCGAAGCAGTTCTGGAAGGGCAATAGCGAGTAGAAAAGGAAGTACTCAATTCAACAAAGGCGTACACAAGAGAAGAATCCTCTGTTTAAATTCTAACCAGCGATTGGACAAGATATGATGACAATGCAGAGGATAAAATGCGATTAGTGTGTCGAGCGACGTAATTTAGATCTGAGGGAGGGAACGTAGCCAAATTAAAGTTACTAATTTTGAGTTTTTATCTTGCATACACACGCACACACACACACATATATATATTTATATACATTTATTTGTCTATCAGACAGTCTTTCTATCTGTGTATCTCTGCATCTGCCCTTTTTCTCTATATCTATATCTATATGTATCTATATATCTATGTATTGTTGCAAGTTATAGGTTCGTGGTTGTCTATTTGAATAATCACACAGAAAGATAGAGGTGGGCAAAACCGCTCCTTTAAGAGAATACATCGGAACCGTTCGCTCACTGAAGTCAATCAGTTCTTTTTAACTATTCACTGCTCACTATCAATGACCTTGATGAATGCGCTGGGAACGAGCGTAGATTAAGAGCGGTGTGCAAAAATGGGGGAAAAGCAGAAAGAATTGAAAAAGAAGTTTCATCGCTGGAATCATTTCAACCAAACCGTTCACTACCTGGACTGATTGCTTTCAACTGTGCTTTTGAGATTTCCTGAAAAAATCTTTCTATATAGAGCAATAATAAAATTCTGGAATAAAAAAATGCTAAAAGTTAAAAAATAATGGAAACTAAACTCATTTTTGTTAAAGATTACATTATTTTATAACTATAATTGATATTTTGTTGCTACTACAAAGCACGGTGTAAAAATAAATTTTTAGATTAGAGGCAAATCTCAAAGAACAGAAAATTATCTGCTGATAATATCGGCATTTTCCTTTTTTTTAATACATCTAATTTGACAAAGTGATACCAAATATCGCTCTAGGTTCTTTTATTCGGTAGGGTTCGCATTTGTTCTGTAATCTTTAAAAAATACATTAGATGAAAAAATTTATCTTTATAAATATATACCAATTCTAAAGAAGATTAAAGAGAAATTCACAGCTCTTGATTACAAGACGTTAGTAAAATAAGTAAATAAATAAAAATATAATTTATTATTATTACATAAATATTACAATAATATTGTATAAAAACGTAATACTTAATATATATAAATATACTATGACACAGTATTCAAAGAATCGAAATGAAACTTAAGGAGCGAGAAACGAAAAGAGCAAATAATCAAGACTCCGCAGGAGCCAGTTTTGCGGAACAGCAGGAGCGATAAAATAACGAATAATCACGACTCTAAAAGACCCAGATCTGCGACTAGAGCGGGAGTGTCGGATCGTTGACCAGCTAGGTATTCGAGGAAATAGTTCCTGTAATCTACTTACTTTAAACAGATCTTCGCACTGCCAGGTGGGAGGAAAAACCTCAGTTTGCAAATATAGGTGGTCAGTATCACTGAGATGCGTCGATTTATTTAATGTTTTATTTTTTAAATAGTAGATGAAACAGAAGCAAACCAAATGCACGCAAATATACATACATAACACAGATACATACATAAAATATAGGTCAGAGACGTTTCCGGTAAATAATTAAGAAAATAATGCTAATGTTTACATTAAGAGAAATCAAATTTTTGGCATGCTTTCTAACAACAACGCTCGGTGAACTGTTAAAGAACTGCCGTTCCGTTTTCTTCGAAGCGCTGATCATTTGTTCAATAAAGTAAATCCGTTCTTTGAATCGGTTTCGGAGCGAATCGTCTGTTTCTACCGAAAGAGCAGGAAAATGTTTACAATGTATTACAAAAAAATTATGAACATATAGCAAAATAAACATATTAAGCAATTCCTCTGTAGTACACAAGAAATATCATTAATTCCTAAAAATCTCTCAGAAAGAGTTTTAAATGTAATTCAGCATATTTTTATTGAACTTCTACTATTAGAACTGAGTCTTATGTAATAATAAATATTAAATCTTCGAAGATGTGCTTTTCGAATGTTTCAGAATCTCTAAATTTGTGAAAAGTCACCAATTTTGCGGCAAGAATTGTCGCCGAGACCCATCAGAAGCTTATTTTCCTATATTCTGCGATCTACCTATGTTATATTTATACAATTTAAACATTACTAGACTCAGAATCGTGAAGTCCCTAATTTTATATAAGAAATAAACACTTATATACAAAACATGTTGCCACAAATTTTGTTGAATATAACCCTAAATGCAACAAATTAATAGATAATCAAACAAAACTATAAAAAATATTACGGTGGACAATATCAATAAAGCAATCAAATGAATTTTAATTTTTATAGAAATTTACAGCAATATATGTAATACAGTTAATATATTTAAGAATAACAGAACATAAAAAATCATGTTATTTTGGCGTGGAATTGTGATCAAATTAGAGATAGACACAACCGCTCTTTTATGGGATCGGTTCAAAATTGTTCGCTGACTAAAATGAATGGGTTCTTTTTAATGGCTCACCGCTCATTCACAATAACCTTGATGAAAAAGTCCCGAACGATTGATGAAGCAAGAGCGGTTAGCAAGGATGCAGCGAAGAGTGGAAAGAATTGAACGACCAGTCGAATCTGGACCGGTTAACGAGGTAGTACAAAAGAACGAAATGAATTGAACGAGGGGTGGAAGCGGAAGAATTCACTCAATCAGACTCTAATTCCTTGAACAGATTTCTTTCAGCTGTTGTTCCTTTTTCGACAAAACCTGTAACATTAAAATCATAGAATAAATATTTTTGAAAAAGCTGGAAAATGATAAAAATTAAACTCACTTTTAACCCGTGGGAAGATAAATATTATTTTCTTCCCTAAAGTGGAAATCGGACTTACCTCTTCCAACAAGAGCTCCATTCTTTTCTCGCTAATTAGACGCAGACTCGCTCAATAAAGTGAGTGAGTTCTTGAACACAAATCAGATCTTTATTCCTGGCATGCTCCCAAGAACTCTCCGTAAACTAGAAAAGAGCTGCAGCTCGTTTTCTGTATCGGAGTAAATTCACTCAGTAAAGTGAATCGATTCTTTTAATTAAGTTCCGTAGCGGATCGTCGAACTCTAGACCAAATGTGAAGCACTGAGATACAAACATAATAAACATATAATGACACAAGACACAGGATAATATTATTTCGATTAAGGCAAAGCACACTGTCTCTAAGTTAAGGATCAAGTTTTTCATCCACTTTTCTTCTTAACCACAGTTATCGAAATTTGTATTTAAACTGTTCTGTTCGAAATGGGCTTCATTTTATCTTTCATTTGTACAGTCACTTTCATCAGAGTCATTTTGATTAATAAAACCATTCTAATTAAATTAGGTAAAATTAGGTAACAACCAATCTTAGAATACCATAGATGTCACATATTTTTACTTTTTTTTTGCCTAATTTTACTCTTTAAATCGATATGTTTCTCCTTGAAATTAAATTATAATAATTATTATCTTCTTAATTAAAAGCATTGTGCTTACATTATTTAAACTGTAAAGGCTATTTAGATCAAGTTTAGGTTCATTATAACATAAAATCATTGTTAAAATACTTATATGGCAAGATTATGGATCTTTAGTTAAACAAGTTAATTTTTGACATATGAACAGCGACGGAATGCCAAGAAAAATGACATTAAAACTAAGATATATAAAACTCCATCCGATTAAAACAAAAAGAACGTTTTTATAATTTTGATACAGGATGCAGATTTACGTAGGGAAAAGCGGGTTATATCTCAAATAACTCAAGTACAAAAATGACAATTTATGGTCAGCTGTATAATATTCTTTCTACTGTGGAGAGAAATTGAAAAAAAAAATATTGATACATTAAGTGGCATTATAATACTCGAATGAAAAGATTGCCTTATAAATTTCATCCAAATGTGAAAGAGTTTCTCATAGGTAAATGCGTCAACTTAAAGGTTAGTCTTCCATTCGGCAGATCGTATATGTAACGTCCTAGAATATTTTCTGTAACGTATTTCAGTAAGTATATGTATATGTGCATATTGAAATATATCCAAGAACATAAAACTGCATATTAAAAATGGGCTTTAGGTATAAAATATTAGAGCAGTATATTTTGGATTCATAATCAAGTAACTACCTCTTTCTCATGGTAGTTTTAGGAAATTTCGTGTCTAAAAGCCAAAGCCTTGAAAAAAGGGTATATCTTCTGCTATCTTAAAACTGAATCAACAATTTATTAATGTTTCGTTTCAGACTGAAGATTCAGAGTAGAGTGGAAAAAGATTTTCGGAGTTTCAATTACGTTTCTTTTCAGAGTGGTGGCCAATTATATGGTGTGGAGAGTCGTCCACCAGTCATTACCGTTGTTGTCGAGGAACTGGAGGACGTTAGAACACAGATCAATAGAGCATCCCCTTGTCTTCGATCTTCAAATTCGATGGAGATATTGCATCTCCTCGATTACGGATAATTACTTGGGAATGGCCATCAGTTCATATTACATATTAACCTATTTAGAAAAGACATACCTGAATGCCGTAAGTGACATACCTATTTGTAAACTAACATCCTTATATAGTTTGCAAATTATTTGTTATTGGGAAGACACGTAGTTTGCTTGATTAAATAAACAAAAACAGTTGTTTGTTAATTTACTACTTATCAGTTTCATAATTTTTTTTATTATTTATTGATTACCTCATTTATTTTTAGCCCAAATGGGCTGTTAATCTCGAATGGGATATTAGTCTCGAAACGGCATTTTGCGTTGAGTAACTATAAACAGCGTATCATTTTTCAAATTGTTGCCACCCAAAATCATCGCTCTGTATTATATTTAAATAAATTAGTAAAGATTCTCCATGGATGTATGCATATTTCTCGTGTTATGAAAAAATAACGGTAGTTAGAGCCATCAAATTCTGAATAATGTAGTCTTCCAGCTGAACAGGAGCACCTAGAAGCGAGAATATTGAATTTCGATTCTTTTTATTGTACATTTCAGATTTTGTATTTGGACTAACAAACTCAAGGAATTCAAAGCGAACAGTGGCAACACGCACTAGAAAAAAAACCATTTATTCCCTGTATCGCACGAGACTGTGTATCGGAAATTCTAAACATATGGTGTATTTAAATATTTTGTGATTTTACTGTTGAATTGAATTTTACATGTCTTAAGCGCCAAGAACATGATATTTAATAAATAAAGTAAACACATAAAGTGTGAATAATAAGAAGGCAAACAAAAGTTTCGTAAAGCCATATCTTAATTAGAAAACTGAACATTGATTTGATGAACTGAGAAAAGATTGAAAAAACATGTATGCCAACGCTTGACCGCTTGGGAATTCTAATCTTTTACTGCTATGCTGACTGGTAGACTGCGAGCTCATTGAAAGCTTAAAAAATTTTAACAAACCTTTGGGGTGACCTTTAAAATCTGAATCTTCTCAGTCTTCTTTCCTTTTTTTTTCTTTTTTTTTTTTTTTTTTTTTTTTTTTCTTGTTATTTATATTATAAATGTTGGTTTTCAAGTGAAGATCACCGGTTTTCAAAGTAAGACAGAGTGCTTATGAGTGGCTATGTCTTTGCATGCTGAACATTACAAAAATTAACTAAATTATTCTGTTGAAATGTGTCGCTAGTTTTCATAAATTTTATTTGAACATTTGAACGTTTGGATAGCTTAATTTGGTGACGATGGTGTTGCCAGAAAACAAATTAAAGAATATTATTTACCGTGAACGTATGCTCCAACAGTACTGGTATTTAAGCTCAATCTTAATCGATGACAAGCTCAAGTTCGCCAGATTGGAAGTTCCATTTAAATATAAGCAATGTTAAACCAGCCATCTAACATATCTTCTAATTACATCCCTGCCTGTTTGTGATCGCGACCTAAGCTTGATCTCCTTAACAAAAGCTTGAAGAGTGTTTAGCCACTATAATAGTTCGCTATATTCAAGCTCAAAGACACTGAAAATAATGTTTAAAGGTTTACGCTTTTTAACAGTTCATGTTGCGACAGGAGTACTTAAGGAGATCTAAATTCCTTCTTCATATCATCTAATTATCCACCACTTCGTTTAAATTAACCTCTTAATACGAAGACGGGTTCATAAAACGTGTTTTAAGAACAACACTTTCTAAACGCTTCTACTGAAACACTATTCAGCAATACACTTGGCTGTTATCTCTGTGTATTCCAAATAATACTCCTTTCATTTTCGTCCCCCCTTCCGAGGCGTTTTCTCGAATGGCTGCACTAAAAGCACAATTCTTAGAATCCGCTTAATAGAAAAGTTATAAATTATGAATTATAGGATTAAGATTTTATAAATGTTTATATAATTGCTTACAGGAGCTCTTCTGAGTGTGTAAACTCTTAACTTGGCAATAAACAACAATATTGATTTCTTAATGCGCTGGATCTGTATTTCAATAGCTTTCAATATTTTACTTGCTACATAAATATTTTTTCTTCTCCTTCGCTTGCAAACTTTGCATTCAGACGCTGCTATAGTAATAAAAGCCACTCAGTGTTTTGCATGTAAAGTTACAAAATAATAAACTAAGAGAATAATACTGAAGTTAGAGACATTTGTAATGTTAAATATATTTTTCCTGTCTTAACTCCTATAAAAGTTGTTTAATATCATCTTATATACTACATGCGTGCTTACTTAAGTATACTTAAATGTTTGTCGCCGATAGTTTATTGGTTGCTTGCGTATTGCGTAACTGTAAATTGTTTTATTCCCCGTGCAGTGCAGCGCGTGACGAATATTATGAGAAAGCTAAGCCGGAAAAAATAAAAATACAAGAGCATGAGCATTTACACTTAATAAATAAATTTAACCTCTATATATAATAAAATTCGGAAATATGCAACCGGCAAAAACATGCAACGATATAAAGACAAATAAAATGAAATAAATAAATATCTTTATTATATGCGGCTTAAATGTCTGTTTGTCGCCGATAGTTTATTGGTTGCTTGCGTAACTGTACTAGCCAATGGGGTGAAGTTGCCACGGCACAAGGTTGCCGTTTCAATTGAGACGTAGACAATTTCCTGTAAAACTTGCCTTTGCTATGACCATCAATAAATCTCAGTGCCAAACGCTTAAGCGTGTTGGCATTTTTTTACCTGAGCCTGCATTTGGGCACGGCCAACTTTATGTTGTCTGTTCAAGAGTTCGTGAAAGAACGGACGTAAAATTAAAAATAATTGTTGGTCCTCTGCAAGGCGAGCTTAAAAATGATGGAAAGATCTACACAAAAAATGTTGCTTACAAAGAGATCTTTGACATGTGAATTAACATTTTTATTACTTAACTCACCTTTATTTATTGAGCTAGCGGTGGCTCTTAAGAAATGTACCGTCAGTGGTTTCCTTCATTGCACTCTACTTTAAGTAATTAAGCAAGTAGGAGGGGGGAAACCCCGTGGGGCAGTAAGCAAAGGCGCGTCCTCGTTGCCTGCCCTGGGTAATTCAGTTTGCATTAACAGACACCTTTGCACAAATAATTTTAACTACAATTTATAATATTTAGAACAGCGGTCATTTCGTATAACCGCCGGGCTTTCTAGTATATTATATTTCACAATTAGTTTTCTCTCTTCATCTGTGCTCTCATAGTATTCATTCATGTGGATTTATTTTCTTAACGATTTTTCTATTAAGAGTTTTAAAGGAAAAAATGAAGGATAAAAATTTTATAGGCTATTTAGAATATGTTATTTTTATTTATTATATCATTTATGAACTGAATGCATTACGTGAGACTTCAGTGTGAACTTGCAGGTAAATAATTGATTATATTAATTGTAATGTATAATTGACAACACCTCCTCTTTTTTTACTTTAGGCTCAAAGTATGATTGAAAATATTCATGAAGCATTCGAAAATATGCTATCAAATGCAACTTGGATGGATGAGGAAACAAAGCAAAGGGCATTAGTCAAGGTTTTAATATATTTATTACGTTTCTTCTTTCCTCTGTTTAAAAAATAATCTTATAATATAAAAGAAAATTCATTCTCCAAAATACTGTATTAATTAAATAAACAAATCTAATGCAATAAACATCGAGGCGAAGAAGACATTCCCTTCTAACGGCTTGAATTTATACAGCAAAAATTTCCTTACAATACTTTTCATACTTATAGAATCCTTCTGACTGCCTCATTTACCTTATATGACGTAATCTTATTTTGAAATTAAATAATTTCAGTGGATAACAGCACTCACTTTGTATCTACAAAAGTAGATGATGAACTCTTAATCGATTCAAATTCTTTTTTCCTTTTCAGTAACGGGTATACCTGCCGTAGGCAAGCAGAGTGTTGTCAAGAGGTGGTTGGGGAAAGTGCATTAATACACCATTTTTATTATATATTTATAGTTTTTTTTTTTAAATTTATCTAACTATGATAACACTCTTTGTCGTATGGGACTAAATATAAAATCTTGTCCCATGTACATAACAACCAAGTACAAAATTCACTTAAACTTCTTGACAATTGTAAAATCAAAATTCACCCATGCCAGCAGCCCCACAGTTTTTAATGTGCTGACGCCACGTAAGGGTGCAACTGATCCGCAGTTATGCTCAGATAGTCTGTAGCTTTCATCGTCTGTTCTATCACAATTAAGGGTATCAAAACCGTCCGTGAGAACATCCTCCAAAGCATAATACCTCCACTTGTGTATGACCTGTTGTACACAAGGAACAATTCTTCATCTCGAAGATGGTGTACCCTGACACTATCATCGACGTGATGAAGGAGAAATCGTGATTCATCCAACCATGCAACTGTTTTCCACTTATCCATGGTCCAGTTTCGGTGTTCCTAGGCCCACTGTAGACGTAGTTGACAATGATTCTTGGTCAACAGAGGCCCACGAGTGGGATGTCTGCTCTGCAGTCCCATATCAATCAGTGCTCGCTGAACTGTGTGTTCCGACACATTCACTTGCAATTGGACCTGTGTTCTATTGGGCTGTTAGCTGAGCTACTATCTGGAGCCGATTTTGATGTATCAAGCGGGACAGTTTCCGACATTTCTTTGATGACGTCTGGACATTCAACATCTTGACGTCTACTTCTGGTTTCACCGTCATTTATTCACTTTGCGTTAATACTAACAACAGCAGATTGTGAACAACATACCAATCGTGCAGTTTCGGAGATATTCGTTCCCAGTCTTCGGGCCATTACAATCTGCCCTCTATCAAATTGGCTCAGATCACTCGCAAAAGTAAGTGCAAGAATGATTCTTTATCGTTGTTACTTGTTCTACTTGCATGCCGTGATTATAGTGCGAAAACACACGACGTGTTCGAGCTCTCTGATGTAATGTCAATGCGACACATGACGATAGAAGCTCCGAACTATTGGTCCCTGGCTGGGCGTAGAGGCGAACGTAGGCAAGAGTGCGTGACTATTGTCACGTGATAAGCAGCATTTCTCTTGCATTTCATTTGCTTGGTCCGTGAGGCTCGCAGGTTGGTATGCACTGTCACGTGATGAGGAGAAGTCATCTGATAGAAATGAGTTGCTAAAAGCAAAATACATGAAATTTCAAAGTAACAGAAAGATAAGCTATATACGATATTAACATTATTTAAAAAAATTTCTGAAGTTTCAGAAAAAGTCTGTTAGCAACGAGTATCCACATCAGGTGGTATCCATATCTGGTTCAGCATATGAGCTGCAAAGGGTCGAAGGTAGCAGTCTTCGTTAAGTAACTCATAATGAAAGGTACCGAAATAGTTCAGAGTTTCACAGTTCATGGATTTAGAGAAGAACCGCTCGCTGTTCTTTCTAAGGAATCTGTCTATGTGATCAATTCTTAGAATGAAGTTGATCGTTTCTCATATAAAAGTGCGCATCTATCATTATTCTGAGAAATCTGGACTGCACAATTTATAGCTTACGTATATCCTTGTCTGTTGCTGTCGCCCAGGCCGAAGAAGCATATGTTAGGCTAGGTCAGATGATAGAGGTATAAATCAATTTCTTCTTAGCCAGATCTAATCTGGATTTTCTGCCAATGATTGTATGCAGGTAGTTCATCGCGCAGAGTGCTTTTTTCTAACGTAATTAATATGATCACTCCATGTGAGATGTTTATTCAGTAGAACTCCGATATATTTTGCCCGTCTCCCTGTCCGAAAAAAAAAGAACAGTTTGTTTTTGAGAGCAGCGTTTTAATTTTTCCTTCTGATAATCAGAAGCTGAGATGTTTGCGGATTAATGGCTAATCTTCTAGCAGCGGCGCCAATCTGCGATCACAAGAATCTGTTCTTGCAGTTTACGAATCGCGTGATTAATGTTGGCCGATTTGAGAGCTAAAGCTGTGTGGGAAACCGTAACACGCTAGCATGTATGCACTATTTGGAGGATTAGGGAAGTCTACCACGGAATATAAATACAAAACTGAGCCAACTATTGAACCTTACGGGATTCCATCGGAATTGAGAAATTCACCTGAAGTTGCAATTGCTACATCAAAAATTCGATCCGACAGAAAGGAGTGCAGGAGCAGAATAAGTTCTCGGTCGAATTGCATGTCAATCAGCTTACAGATGAGCCCCTCATGCCAGACGCGGTCAAAAGCTTTGACCATATCAAGCATGAGGAGTGAAACACTGAGCTTTGAGTGAAGCGCAGTCTTGGCAAATTCTGTGATTCTTCTGAGCTGCTTGGATGTCGATAGCTGCTAGCGGAATCCAAATTGCTCAGGCGAAAAGTAAGTGAAAATATTTCTGCATTCTATGCAGGATCACTGTTTTAAAGATTTTCCCTAGCCCAGGAAAAAGGCTGATAGGATGGTAATCCTCAGTTTTACTGTAATTTTTGCCAGGTTTCGGAATCATGATTATTTTTGCTTGCTTCCAGGCCTTAGGTAAATAAGAATGGAAGAGACAAGCATTGATGATGGAGAAGAACTTGGTGATTGTGTGAGTGAAAAATTTTTTGATAGTTGAGTTGGAGATTCTGTCTTTACCAGGAGTTTTTCTAATTTTAAGGTGTTTGATTAATTCCTTAATTTCTGTCGGCGATGTCAGAGTTGGGATGTTACAGGCAGTAGTAGCATTTAGTCAATCACAGACCTTGAAGAGTGTGTTTTATTCTGATTGGCTGTCAGCAGGCCAGGAGTTGTTAGAGAACTGCTCTTGTAGATATTTTGCAAAAGCTTTAGATTTTTCTCATTAGTGATGAAAATTCGATCATTACTGTAGGTAAGTCTATTGCAGGAACATATTTGTTTGGATTTTTTAATCGTGCTCCAGAAGGATCCATCAGTGTCACTTAAACTTTCCATGCTCTGTTCCCAGAGATACTGCTTATGGCTTTTGATTAACTTCTTAATTTCTTTGTTAAGCTTGTTGATGCTTCGTTTGATGGCAGGGTACCATGTCAGGATGTTTTTTTTTTCGAAACTAGTTTCTTTCTCGAATTGCGTGCGTGATGTTCACAGGAAGTCTGAGAATTTTTTCAGAAACTGACACAGCTTCTCAGGCTTCCTCAAGCGCGTTCTGTATTGAAAAAGAAAAAGTGTTAACTGCATTGTCAATACCATTTTTAGTTTTTAAACATTCAATTTCTAGAGGATTATCCGAGAAATAATCCGTTAGTTTTGGAAAAGTGGCCAATCAATGACTGTTTTAAGCTCACGCGACTTAGGTTTGGAGACTCCTAGTACTGTAATTATTGGTACTTGATCAAAGCTTAGTTTGGAATGGAAGTTCTTGTAATTAATATATCCAAGATATCTGAATAAATGGGGTTGCCTGGGCAGTAAGTATATTCCCCTGACGCATGGAGCCATGGGGTTGTGCAGCACAAAGTCGTGTAGAGTATTTCCGTTAACATTGCTTTTTCTGCACTTCCAGTCTGTGTGCCTAGCATTAAAGTCGCTAGCAGCGATGACGGGGGCGTCCTCTAGTTGGAGTTATGTCGGAAGTTAAGACGAGAGCTTGCTTTTAGGCGAATTGTATACTGCACGAAAGTAGATGCTGTTGAAGGAAGGGAGGGTGACACAAGTGGTAACAATTTCCAGATGATTCTTTATCTTCTCCAGCAATAGTTAAATACAATTCCTAGTTAATCAAGTGCCCTTCACGTCATTAATACGAGTTCATTGAAACATGTGGGGATAATCATAATATTTCGGCTCGTCAGTGTACATAAAAGGTGTTAAGTGTGTACTTATAAAGGGTAAAGCTTGATATATATATAAGGTTAATATTTCTTTTAATTCTTTCACCAGCCCCAACTGCAAAATATTTGGCAATATTTTTAATGCATTTATTTCTTTTCTTCAATATTCTTTACATCAATTTTTCTGTCGGTTTCGTTATGCGATCTTGCTTTACCGAATCCTAGCGAAGCATTCTTTCCCCTTTTTAATTTCACTGAAAAGCAGTTTGGGCTGCAGTTACGTTGCTTTGGGGTTTTTATAAGTTTTCAGGTTAACGTGCTGTGAAATCAAGTCCTTTTATATTTTAAGCCCTTACTGTTCGGTCTAAATTGTTACCGAACTTCTTACAGTAGACATTTTTAAAATGCTGTAAAAGAGAATTATTGTCCGAATCTTCTCCCATGGAGATTAATTTTTGTCTATCTTGGTTACCTCTTAATTGATTTAGAGAATCACCTCCTATTTTTTCCACATTATAAAAGTTTGATATTTCAGGCTGTATTTCATCACTAGTTGAATTGTCGATTCAAGATAAGAAATATGTTGGTAGCATTAATTGACCCCTTTTGTTTCTTGGTACCACTAATGTGGTATTAATATGAAACTGAATACTGAGGAATTGATTTTTCCATTCTTCTTTAATAGGAATTCTTTTCCTAATTCCGGTCAATATGAGCTAATAATACAGCCATAAATTAGTTTTTAATCAAAAGTTTATTAGCTATTTTAAACTAGGAGACTAATTACCTGCCATTCTGTTTTTGTTAATTATTGTATAAATTCCATTAGTCCGATAAAAATTATCCACCGTTGAATTGCTTATATTATGGGCACCTCCAGGTTACTTTACATCGTGAGGTTCAAGATAGATTGTTAAAATATTTTGCATCAATCATAGCAAACAACTTTGAGCCTAAATTTGGCTGTTTTGTTAAAACTATTTTTGAGAGAGATGCATTATTTTAAAAACAGCAAAACTGAAAAATCCAGAATTTTCTCATCCATTATAAGATATTCACTAGATATATAATATTTCTTAAAATAATTCACAAGCATTTCACAAAAGTTTCCAAGAGAATAAGAACATTGAGCAGTGGTAGTTTATTTGGGCTTGAATTCCGATAGACAGTTATGGTTGCTTTCGTGCTTTCCTTCATGTGAAGATAAATTCAAGTAAGTCTTCCTTAAGTCCTCCAAAAAGCTTAACATTCGGCAAACAGTCTAACTGTGCTTTGATACATTCAAGTAAGCAAAGAAGCATTTTATTAGTCTCGCGCATTGAAACTATATTACCAGTTCCAGTTTACATTTTTCTGCTACAGTGTCATCAAATCTGACACATCTAATGAAGCATCTGATTTCTTTTCCAGTGACACAGTAATTCTCCAATATTTTATTTTTAGAGCAGTTTTATAATTTTTTAAGTTTTTTCTGAGAACATTTTTGATATTTCGTCTAAACAAAGTAAAATAAAAGAAACTCTAAGTTCTATTGGATTAAAAAAAGAAACTACTTCATGTTGTCCAATACAAAATGCCACATAGAGGATGCATATAGATTTGTACACAATATTATGATTTGCAAAATGCACTCCCTTAAAAAACAAACTGTTATCTTCACATTTAGCCGTAAAATTTCGAGCCTTTACCTTGACACCAAATAAATGAGGAAATAATTTAATAATTATTTGCTTCATTTATTTTAATTCGATTATTTATGTACTTGTTTAATACGATTACGATAATCGTATTAAACATAGATAATCGATGTTTAATACTGTTATCGTATTAAACAAGTACTGTTTAATACGGTAATGGATTGCAATATGATAATCAATTATCGTATTAAAGAACTTTTAAAAGCAGCGACGTGTGCTTCGGAAAGATTTTGTTTATGACTATTGATATCTTTTCAAAAGGTACTTCTTATTAATATTTGAATTAAGTTTAGATCTGTGGTATTTTAAATTATAATTTCCAGCAATAGATCATTGTCTATTTTGCAGTTAAGAAGGTTTGATATTATATTATGAGGGTCCTTTATGTTAATTAAAGAGAAATTTTATGTTTTTGATTTTTTATCTCACTTCTTCCTCCAGAATACAAATTAGTTAGCAAGTATTTATAGTGAGATTTCTAGGTTGTAAGGCAAAGCGTGTTCTGCACCTCGAGACCACGTTATCAAGATGCTAGATAAGATAATATTTGTAGTCTTCGGCCATACATGATGATTGCCGATAGTTGAATATCCTCGCCGGTTGCGCCAACTTCGCGTTAACTAATCTGTGTAGCCGTTAGCTATTAGTTTGTTTGAATTTAAGTTTTACATGTGAACTTAATGTTACTCTTAAGTTATCTCACCACAAGTGGTCGCCTGAGTTGTAAGCATAAATTGTGCTTTCTGTTCTTATTTAGTTTTAAATAAGGAGTCTTTTACACTCTTCTTAAATTTCAATTGTTACTTAGCGATAATTTACTGCCAGTCTACCTGAAGTTTAGTTGGAGTTTATAATTTCAAAGAAGATATTTAAACTTTACAATATGAGATCTGTAAGTGACTCGTTTTCAAATGTGAATGAGGTTTTTGTCATAAAACATCAATGATTTTTAAAGAAATTATATAAAATTATAAATATATTTTCTAAAATTTGTACCGTGATCAAAGTTGCCATATATTAAGACCCCACTTTATTTCATCCATTTCTTAAAGTGAAATTTAAGAGCCTACGACCAAACATTTAGTAGAATTCGTTCGTTCTGACTTACTGAAATACCATGTATCACGTTACTACACTGAGTGGTTCTTCAAAACGTTTTCTTGAATATTTTTGTATAATTTGAATATTCAGTCGTAAAAATGCTTTTAAAATAGAAAATTTCTCTACTAGTTTCACCAGAAGTGTTCCAGTATAATTTATTACATTTTATTTTTCTAAATTTATAACAATAATTTATTACCTCATTTTATAGGCTCGTACTATAACGTATCATATTGCATATAAAGAAGAACTTCTGAATGTGTCTTATATCTTTGACCTATATAGAGATGTAAGTACCGTAATAATTAATATTGTGTTATCAGAAATTTTACCTGTGAAATTTAAGACTTCTTTAAAATTATTTACAAGTGTAATTTAATTCTTTTTTCAGCTAAATATTTCAGGTAATTATTTTGTCAATGCATTGAAAGTTAGAAAATGGGCAACTGACATGGACTTATCTCGGCTTCGTAGACCCGAGATAATGGAAGCGTATGTAATACTTTAATTGTCAATAACTGATGACTTATTTTCTTCTATGATTTTAATATAAATTGATAGACATGTCAATGCAAAATCTTTATATTACCTAAAAATATATATTCAGTAATATTTTGATTACATAGAATTTATTTAAGAAATTAGGCTATGGAAATCTTTTTTTCTCATTGACACTGTTTTTATGTGTGGTCGGTTAAAAATTCTAAATTTCGGATAATTTATCATGTGACAAAAGTTGAGTTTATTTTTTTTCATATCATTCATTTCAGAAACTAGAACCCTGGATCATCAACAAGCTATTCGAGAGGCATTATTTGTTGACTAATTTGAACACGCTATATAACTTACACGATAACATAATTAAATACAAAATACTAAATAATTATCCAGTAACCAAAAGACAATGTGGGATGGAATTTTATCCCATCTGACATCTTAAGTAGAAGCATAAAATTCACAGTGAAACTAAAAATAAAATATATATTAATGCATCAACCTGATAGTTACACAAATTTGAATAAGGACAAACCGAGTTTCTGCTAACTAGCGTTTAGAATACCCAGTTTCTTCAACAAATTAAAAGAAATTTGAATGCATTTACAAAACAAAGCCTGTGTAAAGTTTGGATTTCTCTGACTACTTATATGCAGAGAATTAATGCAAATAAATCTTTGGCAAGCTAGTACAAACAGCAGAAACATAAGTTAGAGCAAAATGTCACTCTAAGCTGTTAACCGCTCTGTTTTAAACTTTGAAAATTAATATTTATTTATATTTTAAACTAATATATGAAAATTAATTGGTCAGTTAAAATAAGACCTTATAATCTTAAGAAGAAAATAATTAACATTTATTTTTATATTAATATCTCATAAAATTAGGATTTATTAATAGTTCCTTAAGGGACAATATAATGCTTAAAATATATTAATATCTATTTAAGGAAAAAGGAATATTATATTATGTCACATAGAATTCCAGAAACTTTTATTGTCATTATTATTATATCCATACGCTGCGGCCTTTTCTATAGAAATTCACGTTAATGATTACTATGTAGGGTTTATATTTATTTTAACTAACATTTATTTTAAGCTATCTTTCCTGGCAAGCCTTTACATTCCCTAGAATTTCCAATGCCAGAGTATGTAAATTGTAGTAGAACGCGCTGTATATTCAAATTTTAGCAGAAGTAAGTTGAGTTTAAATAGAAGGGAAACGAGATTGTGAGTGTGCTTCTTGAATCGCGAGCGTGAAGGTTGCTAGGTAGAAATTTAAGAACCGCGCGTTTCGGCCTGTGTGCCTATTTCGGCAGTTCGTTGAATCTTCAACTGCTTAATCAGTAAGCTTGTTAAATCTCAGCTGTATCTTAGAACGCGGTTCAGTTAGTTACAATATTAGAGCCTCGTAGGTAGTGATCTCGTTATTTATTCATCCTGTCATTTATTTTTAGTTTCACATTTCTGTTTTGTTAAACCGTAGGGTCGGCGTAGTTTGTGAGCGTCAAGTGAACGCAGCTGTTATTTCTAAACTGGAATAAAAAGGGATTTAAACCCTTCTTACGAGTTTGTGTAATTTACAGTTCATAGCAGTCACTACTACTGTTGCTGACAAGTTGGGGCCTCGCAACACTATAACTAAACAACAATTAATTTAAATAACAAATTTAAGCATATCAATGAGTACCCTATTCTGCTCTTCTTTCCCTTCTATTATTCCTTATCTTCTATTATCTTCCATCTCTTATTCTTTTTTTTTTTTTTTTCATGACTTATCAACATGTTTCCTTTTCCATTTCCGATTTCACTTTTCAATCGTCAAGATCAGAATCTACGCAATTGTTTAACGTTTTAACGTTTCAAGCTGTAAGTGCAAGTAGCTGTTAGTTGATAATCCCTACGGAATCAGTACTGAAATCCTAGGGTCGATGAAAGTTTAAAGGGGTCTTTGATGATCAAGGGGTCGATACGAGATCGATAGCCGATCGTGAATCAGCATATTCAAGATCCCAATGTTTACAAAAAAAAAAAAAAAAAAAAATGTATGAAAAATTGATAATTCATTGTTTGTTAATAATTATTGAGTGCTTTATGATACAAATAAATCTTATTCAAAACACCCGGGTACGTTACATTCTGGAATTTAAAAGTCATCTGAAAGAAATGCCCCCAAATAAAAGTTCTTACCGAATCAACATTGTTGAATTTTTCCTCTTCCTACCGAGAGAAAACAGCCTTTAGTCAACTCAGTAACTTACTACTTAAAAAGAATAAATAGGTTGACAATTTCTGAAATAGGTGATTTAAGAGTTAAGCAGTTTTATACCAAATATTAAAACAATTGCATCAATACACAAGAGCAGCAATTTCATAAATTTCAATCGAACTTTAGTGCAGTTGAAATCTGTTATTTTGTTTCTGAAAATTTTTTTATATTTGTAAAATTAAAAACAATAATAATAAAAAAGTAATAAACTATTAGTCTTACAAACCATTTTTTTCAGAACTTCTGTTCATATTGTTAGTTTAATTGTCATCTTTTAGTTACTTATGCACAATTATTTCTATTATGATTATGTTGTATCTTATATATAAGAGCAAAATATAAGAAAGCTGATGAAGAAAACTATTCTTTTAAAAGGGGTCAGTGCAAGAAAAAGGTTGAAAAGGTCTGCAGTTGCGTTTATAAACTATCTTTTACTCACGTACCCCTTGACCTATCATTGCTGCTCCACGTATCTCACCCCAACCACATTTTGTATAATTACTAACATCTACATCTACGGGGTACAGTGATATTAATAATAACTATAATATACAGACATTTTTATTTTCGCAATGTAAAAATGATGTGCATTGGTAATTGTACGCATTTAATTAAATTAAAAAATGCACATAAGCACATTTAATGAGAACCTTGAGGCTGTTTGATAGCACTCGGTAATTTAAAATTCAGATCAGACGATGAAAAATGCAATCTCAAGCCCGAACTTAAGGTGGAAAATCTGTTCCTGTACTTATTTTTAGGTAAGTGTTGGACAAGAAAGCCCTCTACCCTAATACGGGGCTTATGATTGGTAACAAAATAATGATTACCTTGTTGAATAGTTCAGGATATAATCTTTCAAGTCAGACCAGAATGAGATGAGGTTTTTCTTTTTCCTTTTCTTTTTTCTTTTTCTGATTTTTGCTGAATTCGACCTTAAGTGTAGAATCTAAAGGGTGTCCCAAAATTAACGCAAGATTTGAATTTGGCGCCATTTTTGCATTAAGTTGTTGGCAACCGTGAAAAAAGAACAGTTTGAAAGCCGAGAGTTTAGGGTTAGTGAAAATGGAGCGTTATACTATACAACAACGTGTCTTCATTAATGAACAATATTTTTAAAATAATGAAAGTTTAGCGGCCACAGTTCGAAAATTTTATACAAAATATGGTAAAAATAGTGTTTTAACCTCGTCAACTGTAAAAACCTTAATTGAAAAATTCGTAGAGACTGGATGAGTTGGAGACGCTAAACACACCGGTCTTCCAAAAACAAGCCGTTCAAATGTTAATATTGAAGCAGTGTGTGAGCGTGTTGGTGAAAATCCAGGAACATCGATTCAGCGACGTGGACAAGAACTGAAAATTTCAAGAAGCTCTCTACAGCGTATACTCACAAAAGATCTGTGTCTTCATGCTTACAAAATTCCATTAACACAAATACTGAAGCCTATGAATAGCGAAGAGAGTTCGTGGAATGGATTATTAATCATCAAAAAGTGGATGCTGGTTTTTAGAGCAAAATGATCCTAAGCGATGAAGCACATTTTCACCTCGATGGCTTTGTTAATCGCCAAAATTGTCATATTTGGGGTTCGGAGAACCCACGTGTGATTAGCGAAAAACAAATGCACCCACAACATGTTACTGTTTGGTGCGGATTTTGGGCAGGAGGCATCATCGGACCATGCTTTTTTGAGAATGAAGCTGGTTAAGCAGCATTTGTTAATGGTGCTCGATATTGCGACATGATAACACAGTTCTTTCTGCCGAAATTGGATGATATTGACGTGACCAATATGTGGTTTTAACAAGACGGTGCCACAGCCAATGAAACAATTCAATTACTGCATGAGACATTTCGTGATAGTGTAGTCTCTCGTTTCGGTGATCAGAATTGGCCCCCTAGATCATGCGATTTAACACCATTAGATTTCTTCTTATGGGTTATTTGAAGTCAAAGGTCTATGTCAGCAATCTCACAACCACACGTGCATTACAAGAGGAAATTAAACGCTGCATTAACGAAATTCAGCCACAATTATGCAGAGAGATCATGAAAAATTTCGACGAAAGGGTGCGTATATGCCAGCAAAGCCGTGGAGGCCATTTGCCCGATGTGTTGTTCCACAAATAACCCTAACCTATGTACTTTATGATTCACTTAAAAATAAATATCTAAAGACTAAAAACTCTCTTTTATATTGAATTCAAATCTTGCGTTAATTTTGGGACACCCTTTATTATCAGTTGAATCACTTAATGTTTTCTCTGACTGATGAAGATGTACCCTGGAAATACTTTTCACGGAAAAGGAACGCAATCTATAGATCATCTATTCCATGTTTGGGAAAATGGTTTTAAAAGGTTGCCTTCACTCCATTCAGATGTTGTATTATTCCAGATTCTTCGCAGATATAAAACTTTATTTAAACAACCAATGCCTGCCGAATTGCCTGCCTGCTTTGTGCTAAGATTCTTGAAATGTACCTACTATTGTGTGTCCGGGGAGGTTGTTCTATCACTCTCGACAGGTACTTGCCTTGCAGACAAAATATATACCTAAACGGAATTTAAAACATTCATAACTTTTTTAATTAAAATTATTTCGGATTAATTATTCTAGATTTTATAATGAAATATTTGGATTAGAAATGCAGTTGTTACAACAGCATTTTATCTTTTCTCTTAAGTTCAATCAATCCATCAATGAACATAATTACGTCTTT